TTGAACAGCCAACCTTGCAGTTAGCAGTCCATTCCTCATCCTACAGCATGATACCAGGAAGTGTTTATAGAGGACATGAAATTCAAGGTTATATTTTGCTACTACCTTATTTCGTTAAGAAATAATAATAATTTACTGCACAAGTTAAAAAAGTTGTCTTCGCCACACATTTAATTCTGAATAACAACTCGGCTTGCTGTATCTTTCAATGGTCCTCACCCTCCTTCATTTGTATTCCCGACTTCCCTTTGCCACGTTTTCTTGCTCTTGGCTATTTGTATAAAATGGACTCTTTGGTCTTTAAGGGTTCATAAACTGCACTGGCTCATTGTCCATCCTAATACACAAGCAGCTATGGGGACACCCAGGTGAATCATGAGACCCACTTCTCCCTCCTCTGTCTCACTTGGGCTTCTTTTACTGGCTTGAATCCTCAAGCCAAGCCAACCTCAGTATCTCCTGACTCATTTGTAGAAATGAGGAGGCCTGTCCCTGCAGGCACACAGCTGGAGAAAGCTAGCCAGCAGGCTCATGTTTCTATACAAGCAGAAAGAGCAGAGACTAAGTCCAAGCTAGGCTTCTCTATTTACTGGGAAATTTGGGGAACATCTCCATCTCTCAGAGTTTCCATGTTCTTCTCCATGAAATGAGGTGATACTATTAGTGCATTACGTGATTACAGTGAGGAATAAAATACACAATACCCATCAAGGGTCCACAGGTGAACTGATACACATTGTCTTTTCCAATCCCTTTCCCAAGTAATGCCCATCTTTTCTAGGCCTTCCTACACCCTACTACAAATGTTGGTGCCACATTCCATCAGTAGCAGATATTCATTACTTATCAAGGAATCAGTGAATGATACCCCATTTGTTCTTGGAGTCTTTCAACACTCAGAAAGGTTCTTAAAAAATGGAAGGGGAGGCAGAAGAGGAGAGTTAGAGGGAGATGTGACTAAGGCGGAAAGATTAGGGAGACGCCTCATGAATGGTTTTGAAGACGGAAGTGGGAGACCACAGACCAAAGAATGAGAGCAGCTTCTAGAAGCTGGAAAAGGCATGGGAACAGACTTTCCTAGGGCTGCAAATGAGGCAGCTCTGCTGGCATCTTCATCATAGACCAGTATGACTTGTGAACTGCAGAACATCAGATAACAAATATACATTGTTTTGGCCACTGGCTTGGTAGGAATTTGTTCAACAGCTGTAGGATACCAAGGTTTGGAGGAGGATAGAAGTGGGAGAGGGTGCAGTCAGAGGAGGGACCAAGGATGCAGCAGTGGAAAGAGATGATTTGCATGGAGGACACACAGGTAGGGTTTGAGATGTACTGGAGGTGGTGGTTTAGGAAAAAGGGCAGAGGGGCCCTAAAATGTTTCCCTGGGATGACTGGGATTCTCTGGGAAGGAAGGTAGAGAATAATCAATATGAATATTGATGGAACTGGGAAGCCTCCCTCAAGACAGGCAATGTCAGAGCAGGGTGGGCTCTGGAGAAGTGAGAATTCAGCTTCAAACTCAGAGTATAGAGAGCATTTGGAATCATTAGGAGCGCAGCGAGTTTGACAGGTAATTCGTGATTAAAATGAAGTGTGGAGCCCTGAGTCTGTAGGTGGTGGTTGAAGCCAGAAGATGGACCAAAACCTGTGTGGTAGGAGGCTGTGTGAGATGGGTTCTACTGAGAAAACCACGCCCAGGTAAGCAGAAGAGCATGCCCAGAGTGCAGGGGCCTTACAGACTATCACAGAGGGAAGAACATGTCCAGAGAGCATGGGCCTTACAACTTACTAGCGATACCACAGGGGAAGAATATGCTCAGAGAGCGGTGTCCTTACAGCCTACCAGTGATATGACTGAGGAAGACTTCCTGAAGGTAGAGAGCAATACTGAATGGAGTCCTGGTGGATGAACTAGTTGAAAGGGGAGAGGACCTTCCAGACTGAGAGGAGAGCCTAATGACAGACCCGCGGTGAAGCCGCACACACACAGCTTGACATGTCTGATGAGTGGAGGTAGAGACTGTGTTCAGACCAGTTGGACTGAGCCATCGGGATGTCCCCTTCCACTGAAGAGGCTGTAGGACAATAGAGTACCGGCGAGAGGTTCTCAGTAAGGCACGGGGCTTAGAGTCAGTTGAGTGGATTTATAGTGATAGTAAAAACGAAGTTTTAAAGCATCAATTAGAGACATGTTTAATTAGCTTCCTACTTTCTGATGCTTAAAATAGCTGCCAGATCATTTTTTCTTATCGTATGACCCTCATTACAAAATGGTACTCAAAACGTCTGGATGGATTACAAAGAAGGTCAGCGTCTCCTTGAAACCTGGCATTCACCCATTGCTCTTAGAACACACAAGACATGTCCCCATGGCCACCACTGTCCCCTGAGCCTGAGGGTCTCCTCCTTCACCTCGTCCCATGTGCAAATTTCAGCCCAACTTCGCTTCATGGTTCAGATGTCATCTCTCCCAGAAAATATTTCCTGATCCCTTGTGGTGGACTCTCCTGCTATCTCTCTTTGCTTTCCCCAACTTTTGTTGTTGATGTTTTGCATTATGTCTTTTCACACTAGACTCATCTGTAACTCCCTAGGCACGGCACAAGTCAGGGTAGGAGTTCTGGGCAAAGGTAGCAGGGACATCTTTGGGAAGGAAGATAGGGAGATCTTTTGTGTCCAAAATGGAAGTTGAAGGAAGGATGACATCACTAAAGTTTTATACTGGAAGTCACCTGGCTCCCACAGTAGATTTGGGGATTTTGTGCAGAACAGAGAGAAGAGGAGAAAGAGTGAGGCAGGAAGTCTGGCTGGGAGATGACTTCAATCACTGCTGTGTGATGTGATGAAGAGCAGGATTTGGAGGTCAAGGGCAATTCATTTTGCATTCAGAGCTGTGGTATTTAATTCCATATCTTCTCATATCAACAGTTTACCACAGACTTATGCTAGTCTCCTTTAGGGTAATAATTACATCCAGCAATGCAACTCGCCAATGTTTCAACGATAGGAATTTTGAGTTTGTTTTATTGATGTGGTAGTCTTGGAATGACGCTCATAGGCAACCAGGGGACATGAGTCTTGTGTGCATGAGATCTGTGGTTATTGTTAGGGCTTCCAGACAACAGGCAGGGTCTCCAGTTAAATGCAGACGCCACAAAAGTAGCAACATTTTTTAAGTACATGTACATCCTATGGCAAATACTTATAAAACTAGATTCATTGTTTCCCTGCAATTCAAATTTAAGTAAGCATGCTGTATTTTTTATTTTGCTAAATCTAGCAAGGAGATCTGGTAGTGTAGTGGTTACAAATCGGAGTTGACTGTTCGAAACTACCAGCTGTTCCGTGGGAGAAAGATGAGACTTTCTGCTCCCTTAAAGATTTACAGCTTCGGAAACCTTGTACAGGGTTGCTATGAGTCAGAACCGACTCCACAGCACATAACCATCAACACCAACAAGACTAGGGAGTCCGGGCGTAGCACTGTAGCATAAGTACTGGTCTGTTAATTGCAAGGTTGATGGTTCAAACCCCCAGCCACTCCTTAGAAACCCAACACAGGGTTGCTATGAGTTCTAGCCAACTTGATAGCACCTAACACTAGCAACGCCAGTCTAGAGGACATGTGAGCAGGAAGCAGTACTCTGAGTAGACTGTCTCCTGGTGGTGGATGCGGGTGGTGCATTTAGTGCCCCTCCACGCCCATGGTTTTACGATTGTCTGCCTCTAAACCAGAAAGCTCTCTCAGCCGCCTTCCTTTCTTAGTGTCCACACTACAAATGAGGAGGCTCCCTGACCATCTAAGACCAGCTTTTAGGGTATTTCCATGAGCTGCCCAAGTGGTCTTTCTAATGTTTACCCTCAGTAGCTGGCATAACCTTATTAACCTGTCATTTCTTCAGGGGCACTGGCCAACAAATGACCACAGAGCGCCATAAGGGCATTTATAAGGGTCCTGCAGGGTCTGGCCCCTTGGCCTCTCTGATTAAAGTCAAGCCTCAGCAACCATCGCTTCACAGAGGCTGGGCCCCAACATTCAGTGGGATTGATTGGACGTTAAGGAACTGGCCTCCCATGTTCTAGAGATGTTTGCCTGCTTGCTCAAAGACGCCTTTCTCTAGGGATGCCGTAGCTCAGGGGCATAGTCTCAGCCATTCTGCTGCCTGGACCTGCATGCAGCCTTGGAGTTGGGACCCTTGTTGGAGGCACAAGCCCGTAAGTGGGTCCTACCCTGCTGCCGCCAGCTTTGTGTTTGAGAGGCAGGATTACTTCATGCATCTTGCACGCCACCACCGTGGTATCCATACATCACAACATAGTTGGCTATGTTTCTGATTGTATTCAGTTTTCACTTACCAAATCTCTTCATCTTTCCCTTATACTGAATCTAATCGGTTTTCTTTCATATTTTGTATTTATAGGATGATTACCATTCAAGACAGTAGCCTGCACTTGTCTTTATTGACTTCTGTTGGATTTCACTGAGCCATCCATCCAGTTTACCTATAGTCTTTTGGATGCTTCAGATTATCAAGAGATGTAAGAACCAAAGGGTTGTAAAAATCCTCCTTTTAAACCCTCCAAGAATTTACGTGATTATACTGGCAGCAAAGACAAGACTCATTATTATTTTATGATTTAATTTAATTTTTTGAACATTTTATTGTGCTTTAGGTGCAAGTTTACACAGCAAATTAGTTTTCCATTCAATAATTCACACGGAAATTTGTCCATGGCATTGGCTGCAAAACCGCAATAGCTCAGCTCTCACCCCATTTCCATTTGTCAAGTTTCCTGCCCCTCCCTGCTTTCTCATCTTTGTTGTTGGGACAAATGCTGTCGTGTGGTCTTGTATAGCTGGTCATTTTATGGAACACATTTCTCATGGCTGTTACTGTTTATTTTATAGGCCATTCTATTATTTGGATAAAAGGCAGTCTCTAAGAGTGGTTTCAGTTTCACATTCAAAAGGTCTCTCAAGACAATTGTCTTGGGGCTTCCTCCAGTTTCTATCAAACCAGCAAAACTTCAAAAAAAAAATTTGCATGTTGTTGTACATTTTCCATCTGTTCTAACCAGGCCCTTCTATTGTGTACATGGTCAGCGTGGTTGTTAACGGTAGCTGGGCACTTCCTAGTTCTTCTGATCTCAGGGTAGAGGAGGTTGTGGCTCATGTGGACCAGCAGTCCTTGGGATTACCGGTGATCATCAAAGAATGTTTCTTGCTGTGGGTAAATTTTTCCTTAGCTTTTTAAACTAAGAGTCTCATATGATATTTGTCCTTTGGTGATTGACTTACTTCATCCAGCATAATATCCTCCAGAATTACCCATGTCATGAGATGTTCAGCAGGTTCATTCTTCTTCTTCTTCATTACTGCATAGTATTCCATTGCATCTATACCACCATTGGTTTATTCATTCATCTGCTTATGGACACTTCAGTTTTCCCCATCGATTTTGTTGTGAGTTACGCTGCAATTTGCATGAATGTGAGTATCTATATTTTTGTTTCTCTAGGATACATACCTGGGACTGGGATTGCTGAATCATATGGTTTGTTTTTTTCAAGTTTTCTAAGGGGTGCCATACTGTTTCTCAGAGTGGTTGTACATGTCACAATTGTACCAAGAATGTGTAAGAGTTCCAATCTTTCCACAACCTCACCAGCATTTCTTGTTTTCTGATTTTTTGATCTGTGCCATTATCGTTGGCTGGTATCTCATTGTACTTTTGACTTGTAGCTCCTCATGTGTTTATTAGCTGCCTGAGTGTCTTCTCTGGTGAAGTGTCTGTTCATGCCCTTTGCCCATTTTTAAATTGCATTGTTTGTCTTTTTTTGTTGCTGTTGAGATATTGGAGCGTTCTATAAATTTTAGAGGTTAGACCCTTGTCAGAGATGCCATTGCTAAACTCTCCCCCCCATCCCCACCCCCAATCTGTAGGTTCTCTTTTGGTAAGCATAAGTATTTAATTTTTAGGACGTCCCAGTTATCTTATGGAGTTCTGGTAGGGCACTGTGGATTAATGTGCTGAACTGCAAAGTTGGTTTGAACCTCAAGGTTGCGGTTCAAGTTCACCAGCCACTCCTCAGAAACCCTACATAGCCACTCCTCAGAAACCCTGCGCTGTGGGTAGGGACCAACTCAATGGCATTAAGCAATAACGAATTATCTTATGTTATTTGTGCATTTTAAATTATGTTTGCTATTCTACTTATGCCATGAATGGGGGTCCATAGCTTTGACTCTATTTTTTTTATTTCATGAACTTTAGGTTTAATATTTAGGTCTTTTATCCATTTTGAGTTAGTTTTTGTGTATAGTGTGAGGTATGGGTCCTATTTCATTTTTCTACACATGATTATCCAGTTTTATCAGTACCATTTGCTAAAGAGAGTATCTCTTCCCCATTTAGTGGACTTTTCTTCCTTATTGAAGATCAGTTGTCCATAGCTGGATGGATTGACTTTGGGATTCTCAATTCTGTCTCATTGGTCTATATATCTGACATTGTATCAGCTCCAGGCTGATTTGTCTATCGCGGCTGTGCAGTAGGTTCTGAAGCTAGCCCCTGACTTTGTTCTTCAATATTTCTAGATACAGTTTGTGATTAGTGTTTTCATTTCTTTAAAGACTTTTGTTGAAAGTTGGATCAGGATTGCATTATATCTGTAGATTACTTTGGGTGATACTGAGTTTTCACAATTTTAAGTCTTCCTATTCATGAGCATAAGGAGCTCTGGTAGCGTAGTGGTTACGAATCGGGCTGCGAACCACAAGGTCAGCAGTTCGAAACTATCAGCTGTTCCGCGGGAGAAAGATGAGCCTTTCTGCTCCCGTAAAGATTTACAGCCTTGGAAACGAGTCGGAACTGACTCCACGGCATACTACCACCAACATAATCACCATTCATGAGCATTGTAGGTTCTTCCATAAATGCATGTCTCTTTTGATTTCTTAGAATGGTGTTTTGTATTTCCTTCTGTGTAAGTTTTTTTTTTCATTCCTAGCTAGATTTATCCTTTGGGGTGGTACTGTAAATGGCATTGTCCTTTTTAGAGTTCTCTGTTAGTGTACAGAAACCAAACGGATTTTTGTTTGTTGAACTTGCATCCTGCCACTTTGCTAAAGCCTTCTTTTAGTTTCAGTCATTCTCTTGTGGGATTTTCTATGTTTAGGGTAATGCCATCTGCAAACATAGATTGACTTCTTTTTTATCAATGTGGATGGTTTTTATTTCCCTTATTGCTCTAGGTAGGACCTTCCAGTACAACACTGAATAAGAGTGTTGATAAAGGACATCCTTGGCTTGCTCTCATCTCAGTCTCTCTCCATTGAGAATAATGTTGGCTGTTGATTTTGTTTATATGCTCTTAATTATGTTGAGGAATTTCCCTTCCATTACTATTTTGAGATCTTTTTTTAAATCAGGAAATGGTTGTTAGATTTTATTGAACCCCTTTTCTGCATCACCGAAATGATCCTCTTATTATTTTTACTTTGTTTTATCAACGTGGTGAATTACACTGCTTCGTTTTCTAATGTTGAACCGTCCTTGCATCCCTGGTATGAATCTCATTTGATCATGATGGATTACATCTATATTGTTGTATTCCATTAGCTAGACTTTATTGAGAATGAAGGATATTGACCTATAATTCTCTTTTTTGCAGTATCTTTGTCTGCTTTTGTTATCAGGTTTAAGCTGGCTTGATTAAGTGAATTACAGAGGATTCCTTCCTTTTCTAGATTCTGGAATAGTCTCAGTAGAATTGGTGACAGCTTTTCTCTGACTGTTTGGTAGAGTTCTCCAGTAAAGCTGTCGTGGTTGGTACTTTTTTTAAAATTTTTTTTTAAATGACCTCTTCAATTTCTTATTTTACTATGTGCCTGTTTGTGCTAGTTAATCAGGTAATGGGTTTCTAGAAATTTGTGCATTCCTTCTACTCCAATAAATTATACTTATACTCCAATAAATTATACTCCAAATTTATTGGAGTATAATTTTTCAAAATACCATCCCACTCACCTCACTTCTTACTTTGGTGATTTGTGTCTCTCATGCTTTTCCTTTGTCAATTGGGCCAGTGATTTGCAATTCTACAGAGCCTCTCAAAAAGCCAACTAACAGCCTTATTATTTCTTTCTATTGTTTTTCTGTTTTCTGCTGCATTTATTTATACTCTAATTTTTATCAGTTCCTGTCTTCTAGTGACACTGGGATTCTCTTGTTGTTTTTTTTTTTAAATATCTATTTGTTCAAATGGTAGGGTCAAGCTATTGACTTTGATCCTTTCTTTTATGGTGTGCATTTATTGTTACAAATTCTTCTCTGAACACCTCTTTTGCTGTGTCCGAAAGTCTTTGATATGTTATGTTTTCATTCTCATTTGATTCTGGAGATTTTTCGTTCATTTCCAATTTGTTCTAATACGCAGTCCTTTTTAAGCAAGGTGTTTTCATGTCTTTGTTTTTTCCCTTGTTCTTCTTGCTGGTTACTAATCTTGTAGCACTGTAATTAGAGAAGATGCCTTGTAGTAGTGCGAAGGTTTTGATGTTATCAAGGCTTTGCTTTGCAGCCTAAAATAGGGCCAATTCAGGAGAATACCCCTTACACATTGGGATGGGCCCTGTACTGCTACTGGCTGGTGTGTTCTGTATACATCTATGAGGTCAACTGGGTTGACTGCTGTTTATATCTTCTGCATCCTTGTTGAGTTTCTTCCTACTTGTCTGTCCTTCATCAAAAGTGGTGTGATTTTTCTTTTCAGCACTCTTCGTTTGTTTTATGTATTTTTGAGCTCTGTCACTGGGTGTGGAAATGTTTATTATGGTTATGCTTT